ATTGTTTTATAAAGAAGCGTGGATATTTGAGTGTATAAAAAGTGATAGGTTTTCGAGAACCATGAAAACAGAGGTGGGGAGAACTGTCATTATGATAGAAGTTCGTGTGAGGTGGTAAAGTGAAGAACATAGAAACACAGGGAATTTTTTTGACAGAAAAATCTACGGTAGAACCAGTTGGACGGTTAATTGGAGTGCTTTATAGTGGTGATGACTGAAGGATTTTTGGCTCAGAAGAGGGCGGAAAGGAAAAAGAAGTTTGAGCTTCCTCCGCCTCGATCAGCACCGTTTACCCGGGCAGTGGTTGCTGGAAAGCTGGTACACTTCAGCGCACTCAGTACTTGGTAGTAACAAAAAAAAGCAACTAGATCTTCAGGTGGAAGAAAACAGGTTAGATAATTCTAGTGTACTTAGAGCCAGATTCATTTGGTGTCTAGTTCGGGTATACCATCAGGCGAAGAAGTGCACCTCGACGAAATTACAATTTGTCCTGCTTATCCGACGTATGGATGGCAGCGTCGTGTGGAAGCGAAAGATTTTAGAAGTTAAAATAGTTTTTTTTTGTCTGATTTTTCCAATTCTCTGTTTTATCAGCCATTAGTTTGCTGAATGCTCTACAGTTACTTATTTCTTATTTTTAAGATAAAATTAAAGTGCGAAAAAACACAGGAAACCTACATTTTTATTCACCATTGTCTTTTTTTCCTGAAAACTATAAACAAATTTTACAGGAGTTGACAATAGATTAATTCTTCTTTTCTTTGAGTCGGATGATACTGAAACTTAAAAAATTGATGCAAAGAAAAAAGTCTTTTTAAAGCATTTCCATTTAACTTCCTTCTGCTCGTTCCCCCATCTTCTCCGCAAATGCTTCATGCAATTGTTATCGTTTGTGGCACCATTGTCTTTCAAATGGGTACTATTTGACGCTGCAGTTGTCGCTATTCGGCAGTTTCCTTGAATGCAATTGTTAGTTTTTTACGCTGAGCATATGTAGTCAGATGCTTTCCGATACCGGTAATAGTATCGTCGCCTTCCCGTAAAGTAACACTGTATGTGTATTTGTGCGCGTAAACTGGTGTATTTGTATATGTATGTATGTTTGCTTGTGAGTGTGTATTTTTGATTGAGTCTCTGAGTGTGTTTCTGATGCATTTCTTTTCCCATGGTA